AGGCACGGCTAGGCACCCGCTTTTTCGCTGTCAATCAAGCTCCCCCCCATGTCGTCGACACATTGCTTCAAATAACTCGCATGCAGCCGCACAATGTAATGAATGCGCACACACGCATGCCCGTGTGATCCTTTGCTTTTAAAAAAACGCACTTGCAAACGGATATGGTCGCTTATTAAAGGTCCTAAGGGCCGCTACTACAACAAAACTGATGCTTCCTTTTTTATATTTTAATTGTAATAAATGCAACAGCACGAAGCCTACCGAACTAAATATATTTTCATCTGTGTTTTCCATCAAGGAGGCAGTCAATCTGCTATTTAAGATATGAGCTGTGATCGCACAGTGGAATTACATCACTTAAAGGTCATGAGAACATCTGGTGTCAGGGCAGGTCACACCAGCAGCCCAAACATCAACTTCAATTTTTGGGAACAGCTTAATGAGACGTTCAGGAAGTAGTGCAGAACATCAGAGGGGTCTGGATTAAATCTGTGTTTCTGGCAGCTTAAAACAGGGTCCGAGCATGCTACTCAGTGCTACAGCTGGGCCAGTCAAATTAACAGCTAACTCGGGGAAACATGCTGAGAAAATGTGACCCTGCTACGGAATGATGACGAAGGCAGACCACTGGAATTTCCCAAGAATGTGAAGTTGCATAAAAATACCCATAATCCAATACTAGTGTGGGACAAATGCCTTTATCAGTCCCAGCTAACGGTTGCCAAACAAACAAAGCCCTGAACAGAGAGAGCCTTTGTTTGTCATTGACATTGTGTGGAACGAAAATGTCTCCCTTTCTCCCTCGCTGTATAACATGAGCTCCTTGAGAGGGTCAAACAAAGAGGTAGAGGTTCAGAGGTGCTGCTCCCTCATGTCCCTTTTAAGTCCAGGTCACATTCACTCTCATCACCACATCCCACACTAAGGGTGATGACTATCCAGCTGAGGAATGAAGCGTGCTGTGTGACACACCGGGAGGGTGAACAGGTATCCTTTTACCCCCCTGAAGCTGCTGACAGACGCATCGGAGCAACATTACGCTTCTATTAAATGACATTTAAAAGTTTAATCAGCTCCAATGGGCGACTGTTAGCGAACAAGGGGTCATTGTTTAAGCGGGTAATGGTGCTGGCACTGTTGTGGCGTGTGTGGAAGTGGACCAATAGCGCTGGAGGCTGATGATTGATGGAAGAGAACACACTGCCGGCCAAGCTGCTGTTTACTGCCATGTTATTAGGCATGTTAGCACTGCCAACCTCATAAATGAGCATCCGAGTAGGTCCAAAAATGAGGCTGATGGCAGTGTGGCAACAATGTGAGGATAATTCAAAATGTTATCGGAACCGCATGTGGCTTGAACCGCAACAACTGCATTGTGTGTATGAAACATGTGACCTTTTGCCTGCGTTACAGCTAGCCTGGCACATTTAATGCTTGTAATTTACTTGAGTATTATCATTTAATTATCCTTTTTTCTTCTACTCTGTTTTATATGTCTAACATAACGGAAAAACGACATAGTATAGTATGTTGACAATACGTACAAAAACGACAAAGAATAGTGTGTCGATATACTAAAAATCTAATGATAATAATTATCTAAAAATAATAGATATAGTATGCTATTTCTACATTTTAGAAAAAAACATATAGTATATGTCAAAATCAGAAAAAAACAATAAAGTATGTTATGTTGAAAATTTAGGAAAAACGACATAGTATACTGTAGTATTTCAAAAAAGGGAGAAAAAAACAACATAGTATTTCTAAAAAGAAAAGAAAAGAGGACATAGTAGTACATATGTCAAAGAATTGGGGGAAAAAAAAGATAGTATACAAGAATATCCCAAAAGAAACGACAAAGCATAGTTGGTTAGGCTTGTACAAATATGTTTTGATTCAGTTGTCAATGTAGGTACAGTCAGCACCTACTTTGAGAAAGTTTAAATGTGGGTGGATCATCAGAATGTCATACAACTTAACATGACTTGACTTGCTTGATTCTCACCACCGTAACTTCATACTAACAAATCTTTGGCAAGCACTTTAATTAAGTCAGAATATAATGCTTTTTCCACCAAGGGTTTCTGAGAATATGGAAAGTTTATTCCTCACCTTAGGGCAATTTTACAGCATTTTTAATACATCCTTTAGAGGGGATTTGAACTCTACTGAACCACATGGGATGAACTATGTTCATGTCTACTGTACTAGTCATATTATTTATAAATGAGATTATGAAACCACATCTGATCCTCATAACCTCCATCACACCCCTCACCCATCCATGACTCCACGGCCTTGTTTGGACATCACAATGAAGGTTTATGGTTTCCTTCTTGGCGCCCTGACACCACCCAGCCCGTGCCCTCCATATGCCCCGGCAAGATTGGCATCCACATACAACAGCGTGACCTAAATACCAGGCTAAAACACAGACACCTTACACTACGGGTTACCACTTTTAACTGTCAGTTATATGTTCACTATTAGAACTGTTAGGATCATTACATAATACATGTATTGTTAGATATGACCTTGATCATGTTTACGATATTAACTTATGGTCTAAAGCTCCTGTGTGGGGATATTTAGGGTCAAGCCAAATAAGCGAGTGTTGTTGTTCTTGTGACTGGCTCAATTGTAGCTAATTGTTAAGGCTAAACAACGCCAGAGACCATTCATTGTATTTATTATTTTGGTGGTGTGGTTAAATGTCACGAATGTTTAATTTATCTAGGATATTTTTAAAAATTGCAACATTCCAATTCCGGGCCGCAATATAGCTCAATGTGGCTACCAGACCCGGGTTCAAATCCAACATGGAACCATTTATTTTAGTTTGCTTGCTTTTCAAACTGTTACATTTGAAAAACAGTTAGAGCGTCTCTTGTCAGTTTGAAAAGCCAACGGTAGGAACTGCTTGCGTTTTTGAGGAGTTTTTGTATTACAGATTTGAAAACATCGCTCCTTGCTTTAAAAGTAGCACAATTCATTATGTCAAACCTTGGAAAGTATCTAGATATCCCTGCCCTAATGCCAAAGTAACTGGCAACTGAATATGTGTCGCCGTTTGATGTCTATGTCTGGACCGCTGCGTAAAAAGGAGGGTTTCTGCCCCGTTACTGCAGTTTGCAGTTTTGGAATTGGGACATGAAAAACAGCGCAGAAGTAACGGTATACAGTTAAATCGACCGGACTTCTTTCTGAATATGTGAGCGTCCTTAACAACGGTCAATAAGTCCTTGACAGCGGTCTGTCTGTTCGGTATTAACAAGGTGTCACGTGTTCTGAATTGACCAATCAGAATCGAGTATTCAACTAAGCCATGTAATAAAGGGTTATATCCCCTCTGTCTCCCCCCTTCCAATCTGTCTCTAAAACAAAGGCACTGGTAGCCATATAAAACCCATTCCAATTACAACTTACCTTATAAGTTTGCCAACGTTAGCTAGCCATGCTAATGTCTTTAACAAACTGAAGTGAAACGACAGATAGAAAAATACTTAGTAATCATTGTATATCTCGTAAGCAAACTCATAAGAAAAGTAGGAGTGATATGCAGCTTCAAAACCACACTGAAAGTTACCATTTTATTGAAATATGGAGGTTGTATGGTTTACCTTTGTATTATTGGTGGACGTTGTGCGGCTTATTCAAGCTAATATGCTATCTAATTCTGATGATTGTCTCTGCTTTACACAATTTCAGAACTGATAACCTTCTTCACTCTTGGGACCCCAAGGCAGTTCTACAGCTAAAGCATTATTTTTGGGGCATATTTATCTCACGACAAAGGTAGTTATCGAGACAGCCCCACGATCTCTATAGTATCAAATATGGCTGCAGATAATAGAGGTTGTGTGTGTGTGTGTGTGTGTGTGTGTCTTAGGCAACCCTACCTGTACAGTACCAGAACACTTGATACCAGTTGCTCCACTCTCTCCCTCGTATCACGCACAGTCAATTTTTTGATGCTCGGCGTAACCAGAGCGCCATGCCCGGGCGTCATCACAATGACGCATAAAAAGACCTGCTCATTAATCCCAGGTGTGTTTACTGTATATATGTATGTGTGTGTGGTGGTGACACTCGGTCCAGTGGATAGCGCTTCCTCTGCTCATTCTGAGGCTTTACAGCAGGCCGCTTCCTTCATTCATCGGTCTCCTTTTACCAGAGCTGTCAAGACCATGGCATGTGTGTGCGTGCACATTTAAGCATGTGCTCTGTACCACCCAATGTGCCTCTCATTGTCAGTGTGTGTATGTGTGAGCACACCATGTAATATTTCACTCCTCACCCACAGGGATTAGACCATTCATCTCCCGAAGCCCCTGTGTAGGTGTCACACACGGCGCTAATGAGGAGAGGACGGAACAAGGGAGAGCCGACGAGCGTGGAGGGAGAAAAGTATAAATAGATGTTCTTTTTTGGACGGCAGAGGAGAGGCAACAGTTATCGATAATTCCTGTTGTGGAATCAGAGTATTGATGAATGGGGGATTTTTATCCCCGGAACGTGGGTATTTTCGGGGGTTTAAAGAAAAGACAAATAATTAGCGCTTGTAGCTTTTCAGAGGGTTAAGACATGGGGGATCAAAAACTCTTTCCATAACACAAATCAATTAACACCATCCTGAGACATTGACGGTCAAACCTGTAAAACCACACAGCGGGGGCATTATCTGCCTCGCTGTGTCTTCTATGTGTAGTTCAGCAGACCAGATATCTCTCTGCTTCCCCAGTTACTCAAACAAGGGGATGGCTGCTAGGCAACCAAGCCACATCACATCACATCATGCAAGCCTGGAGAGAGCGAGAGACATAGGGAGATAGAAAAAGGAGAGGGAGATAGGAGGAGGAGGCAGAAAACTATGCTGGCAGTATTACATAAGCCGGCAGCCCAGTCCCACTGCTTACATTAATGTGGTTAGGCACTCGGAAGTGATGTCCATTAGTCACAAGTGACAAGGCAGGTGAAGACGCGAAATCCGGCAGTGATTTTTTTAAAAGCCATTGTTGTTTTTAATGGAGAGCATTACGAACAGATGAGTCAAAATAACACAAAAACAACACACGCACATTAGGAGCGGATGAGTCGCCTACTGTACCGCACAGACAGAACAAACAGGGACTGATAACACCCCAGGGGGATGGTAAAACAAACACACGCATGGAAGCATTAAACATGGTAGTATAAAGACAGCACACATGCATGCACATAGGCAAGCACACACATACCAAATAATGACATATGGAGTGATATGTGATTGCCCCTGCTAGGAAACACATGAGCTCTCATTGGAAGAGGCGAGGGTGTGTACATGAAAGCTGCATCAATCAACATGATCATCAAAAATGCATCAAAGGTTAAAATAAAGATGAAGTGGAGCTGCTGATGTTACTGACAGCAAACATTATCTATGTATCTGCCTTTCCACATGTAACACACAAAATATAATCTATCTCGAGATGTAACTAGCACATTTCTGCGATTTATGACCCATCAATTTGATAACCAATTATTCTTATACATATTAGTAATCTGTCACTAATTGAGAGCTATCACTTCTGTTCTTATAACTCCATAGGAGATGTACATTGTTACAGAACTTACACTTTAACATTATTCACTATACACAGTGCTTTCTGCACAAACAGCATTGATTTCCAATATTAATGTTTCTGTATTCATGTAAATGTGTTTTAAAAAATAATTTGATGCACTTTTTATCTGATAACTTATCAATAATTGATACTAGGAATGCTTATTTGAAGTATTATGTGGATGAAAGGACAACATATTAAAATGGATGACAATGACAGTCATTCAGAGCAAGAACATTGTTGCAGAAAGCGAAAAAGTAATATTACATGATTTGATTTAGAAAATATACTTTCTTGCTTAAAAAGGGAATACTGGCCTTTTTCCCAAAATGTCAAACATCTTTCCACCCAGCACAGCTATATATAATTATAGCAACAGCAAAATGCCTTAACCCTAACCCCAACCCTCGCCCAGGCTCATCAAAGCTCCCTGGGGATGATGGTGAAGGGCCGGATGGGGCAGGACGCCTCCAGCTCCAGGGCTGTCAGGAAGCAGTCGGGGGCCTGGCTGGAGCCCCGGGACTGCAGGGCCTCGCCCAGGCCGCTCCACGCCTCGTGGGAGGTGCTGTGGGCCTGGACCGCGTCACGCAGGACCTTCTCTCCGAGGTGGACACGCCCAGTTCTCACCAGCAGACGGCCCTGGATGGACAGGCAGATAAAAGAGAAGGGATATATATATATAGTTTAGTATAGTAAGGCTTGTACATTAAATCCAAAGAATTCATGGGAAAGGGAGATTTTTGTCAGTGGTCTAAATGTGTATATTAACTGTTTTTTTTATATGAATATAACTAAACTAAACCCCACTAAAGGTTTTAATTTTTTCCGCAACCCATAATGGTGACCTTACAATTTTCCCCAATATTACATTTTTTATGGGATAAGATCAAGTAAGCAGATGGTGGCCCTATACAAAACATCTAAATGTTAGATTATAATGTCTGATGTGCTGTGCACTAGTTTATTAGGACAAAAAAACAACAACAAACTGTACTACACTTTACTACAAACACATTCAACTAGGATTGTAAAATTGAAGGGAGAAAATCCACAAATCGGGAGATTAGGTGCAGTCCTCTGCTTGAAGATTATGTAGTATTTTGGGAGTTGTACACACAGATACCCCCACAGTAATGAAATCTGATGCTGTGTTTAACCTGCTCGGGTTAAATAATAGTTATAACTTAGGGTTTAATGTAATTGTAAAACCATTGGGCCACTGAAAAGATACAATAACAACTCAGGAGGGAGCCAGTCTAGATTTCCTTTTGAGGGCCACCAGCTGCAGAGAGTTAACTAATTAAAGGGATGTGGCCCCACAGCTGTGAGAACTCAGCAATCAGGTGTCCATTTTAGGTAGCACGTTCCTGGAGCGTCAGACAGATGAAGACTGACAAAGACATTAGAGTCCTGCGGGAGTCACGAGGGAGGCAAAGAGGAGGCAAATCCTACTTTGACTGAACTAAGTATCGCTGGTGTTTTATTTTATTTGGTTGTTTAGCCCCTCATGCTATAATCATGTGTATTTTCTCCATTCCTGTTCATGTGTCTTCTTGCAATTATCACTGGCCCCGTGTATCTCGTAATCGATATAACCGGCCTGCTCTCGTCTATCCCACATGCTCCACTGAGATCCAACATCTAGTTTCTGGTGGCCTGTGGAATTGCCAGTCAGCTGTTCCTAAGGCTGACTTCATCTCTGGCTACGCCTCCCTGCAGTCTCTGGATTTCCTTGCTCTCACTGAGACCTGGATTACTCCATCCAACACATCCACCCCAGCAGCTCTCTCCACAGCATATTCCTTCTCTATTACACCCAGACCCACTGGCAGAGGAGGGGGCACTGGTCTCCTGCTCTCTCCCAAATGGAGCTTTTCCCTCTTTAAGCTAACTAACTTCACTCCTTCCACCTTTGAATTCCATGCCGTCACAGTAACCCATCCTATACAATTAACCATTGTTGTTCTCTACCGTCCACCAGGCGCCTTGGGGGACTTCTTGGAGGAATTAGATAATCTCCTCTCACACATCCCTGAAACTGGCCCTCCCGCTGTACTTCTTGGAGACTTCAACCTCCAGACAGGGAAGATAGCTGAACTAACATCTCTGTTAACCGCCTTTGATTTCTCACTGTCTCCGTCCCCACCAACTCATAAAGCTGGCAATGTCCTTGATCTCATATTCTCAAGGAACTGCTCTACTTCTAACCTCTCTGTAAACCCGCTCCACACATTCGATCACTTCTTCATTTCATTCTCTCTACCCCTTTCCAAACATAACAAACTAATCTCTTCTCATCCTGCACCTGTCCGCCGTAACCTTCGTTCTCTCTCCCCCTCTACCCTTGCCTCATCGGTGCTCTCAGCCCTCCCTTCCTCTGACTCGTTCCAACTCCTGCCTCCAAACTCTGCTGCAGAAACTCTCCTCTCTACTCTCTCATCCTCTCTGTCCTCTCACATCTCGGCAGGCTCGTCAGTCCCCTGCTGCTCCCTGGCTAAATGACGCACTGCGTGCTAATAGAATCGTCCTTCGGGCAGCAGAGCGGAAACGGAGGAAATCCAAACACCCTGACGACCTCCTAACCTATCAGGCTCTCCTCTCCTCTTTCTCTGCTTCAATCTCTCAGGCAAAAAGCACTTTCTTTCAAGATAAGATCCAATCTTCCTATTCCAATCCCAAAAAACTATTTTCCATCTTCTCCACCCTCTTGGACACCCCCAGAGCCCCTTCCCCCTCCTCCCTTCTGTCAAGCGACTTTGTTAACCACTTTGAAAAAAAGGTTGATGATATTCGCTCTTCTTTTTCTGACTCACCTTTACTCACTGCTGGGTCAACAGACCCACCTTTCACCCACACACTAACCTCCTTTTCCCCTCTCTCTCCAACTGAGGTTCTTACCCTCATTACCTCTGCCCGTCCTACCACCTGTCCTCTGGACCCTATCCCTTCAAACCTCCTTCAGACTATCGCTCCTGATATTCTACCGTTTCTCACCCATTTCATCAACACTTCTCTAACTTCTGGTCACTTTCCAAACAGTCTCAAGGAGGCAAGAGTAAACCCTCTCCTAAAGAAACCCACTCTCAACCCGTCTGATGTTATACACTACAGGCCTGTCTCTCTCCTCCCGTTCCTGTCTAAAACACTTGAACGCGCTGTATTTAAACAACTCTCCTGTTATCTCCATCAGAACAACCTTCTGGATCCGCACCAGTCTGGTTTCAAGACAGGTCACTCCACATAAACTGCCCTCCTTGCTGTCACTGAGGAACTGCACACGGCGAAAGCAGCCTCCCTTCTGTCTGCTGCATTCGACACGGTGAATCATCAGATCCTCCTTCGCACTCTCCAAGAACTTGGAGTTTCAGGCTCTGCACTTTCCCTCATCACCTCATACCTCAAAGACCGTACCTACAGGGTTACTTGGAGAGGGTCGGAGTCCGACCCTTGTCAATTAACTACAAGGGTCCCTCAGGGCTCTGTTCTTAGTCCCCTCCTCTTCTCCTTGTACACAAACTCGCTCGGATCAGTCATTAGCCCGCATGGTTTTTCATACCACTGCTACGTTGACGACACCCATATCATTCTGTCCTTTCCCCGCTCAGAGACCCAGGTCGTCGCACGCATCTCTGCTTGTCTAGCTGACATCTCTCGGTGGATGTCTGCTCACCACCTCAAGCTCAACCTTGACAAGACTGAACTGCTTTTCCTTCCGGGAAAAGATTGTCCCACTCTTGACCTGACAATCAACATCGGCACCTCTATTGTTTCCCCGACTCAGACTGCAAGGAATCTGGGTGTGACCCTAGATAACAACCTGTCCTTCACTGCAAACATAGCTGCTACAACCCGCTGCAGAATGCAGCTGCTCGTCTGGTCTTCAACCTTCCTAAATTCTCCCACACCACGCCGCTCCTCCGCCATTTCTAGGTAAAATCATTGAAAAAGTGGTCTTTCAACAGTTGAGTAATTTCTTGCATTTAAATAGCTGTTTAGATTCCAGTCAGGATTTCGTCCAAACCACAGCACTGAGACTGCTCTTGTAAAGGTCTTCAATGACATCCACTTAAACACAGACAGTGGCAGAACTTCAGTGTTAGTATTATTAGATCTCAGTGCTGCGTTTGACACTGTTGACCACAACATATTACTAGAACGACTAGAAAACTGGGTGGGACTTTCGGAAACAGTTCTAAATTGGTTTGAATCCTACTTAAAGGACAGAAACAACTTTCTATAGGTAAATACAAATCTGAGTTGACAAATATGACATGTGGGGTTCCTCAAGGCTCCATCTTGGGGCCTCTTCTCTTTAATATCTACATGCTACCACTGGCTCGGATAATGAAAAACAACAAAATAAGTTACCATAGCTATGCGGATGACACACACATTTACATAACCATTTCACCAGGAGACTATTCTCCAGTTAAAACACTGAGTAAGTGCATTGAACAAATCAATGACTGGATGTGTCAGAACTTTCTCCAATTAATCAAAGACAAAACTGAGGTAATGGTCTTTGAAGCCAAGGCAGAATGTATAAAAGTTAGCGCTGAGCTTCAGCCTGCAATGTTCAAAACAACAGATAAAGCCAGAAATCTAGGTGTAGTCATGGACTCTGACCTGAGTTTCAACAGTCACATTAAAACAATTACTAAATCATCCTAGATAGAACATATCTAGGATTAAAAGACTAATGTCACAGCAAGATTTGGAAAAACTATAGGTTACTTACGTAAACCCAGTTCTCAGAGTAACATGAAGTGAGATGTCTCACTATGGGATGCGCCTCAACGCGTATGCAAACAGAAGCATCAATCTCATTATGCCAATCCTGATTGGCTGGTGATCTTGACATCAACGTCAGGGAATCCACCCATCCTTGAAGTAGCTTGCGCTACGACGCAGCGTAATTCAAAATAAGCACCTCTTCTCGCTTCGCCTTAGCAAGAAGGGCCGTCTGGTGAGACATCTCACTTCATGTTACTCTGAGAACTGGGGTTACGTAAGTAACCTATAGTTCTCATTCATAACACTCCGTTCGATGTCTCACTATGGGATATTGAATCTCCCGTATTGCTAGACATGCTTATCTCGAAAATCACCAAAACAGGTAGAACCCTGTCTCAACACGGGGCCCAGCACTGCGCGGGCCACACTTGGAGCAGAGACATCTAGCCTGTAAAAGCGGACAAAAGTGAGCGGCGAGGACCAGCTCGCTGCTGCACAAATGTCTTGGATGGAAACACCCTTGAAAAAATCCCAGGATGTAGCCAGTCCACGAGTAGAATGAGCATGCAGGCCCGTTGGTGCCTGCAAACCCTGACTCGTATAAGCCAGAGCAATCGCTTTCACAATCCAGTGGGAGAGCCGTTGCCTGGTAACGGGCTTGCCCTTCTGAGGGTTAGCCCAGGATATAAAGAGTTGGTCATTACAACGAAACTCTTTTGACCTGTCCATATAGATGCGTAAAGCACGAACTGGACACAGCAAATTCGGCCGCTGTTCCTCAGAGGAACACAGCGGCGGAGGAAATGCCACAATGTCAATGGGGGTACATGAGCCAACCACCTTAGGTATAAAGGCAGGGTTGGACTTCAGCAACACTCTCGTTTGCCCCGGGGCAAACTGAGTGC